GAAGGAAAACTTAGGTAGGAGTGTCGTTTCCGTCGTCAAATTTGGGTCTCAGCCCATTTTGTAGCAAGCGCTATGGGCACAACAAAACCGATCCAATGAAAAGCACCACGCAGCTTTTGTGTCTTGAGCCAAACACGTCAGTGGTGACTATGTACATACCATACACATATGCTGTGCTATGGTAAGACTCCGTTTCCTTTCGCAGAATGATAGATTCTGGTCTGCTTCATGGGCTTTGAAATTGGTTTTTCGCAAACACATCTGCGTCCTCTGCAAAGTAGGGGTCGGCGAGCAGCTCCATTGCCTCCTTCCTGCGCGCGCCCGAAGACTCAAGATCATCATGCGCATACCACGCCACATCAAGACTGACAACATTTATCTTTCTGTAGAAATCTTTGACGCAAAGAGGTCTGCGCTGTTTGTTCGACCTTGCCGACTTGCCGCGCAGCATCTTTGGCAGCAAGCTGCTGAACTTGCTGTCCAACCTCGAAGCGGATGCAGGGGGCTAGTAAAGAAGAGCCCTTTGATCCTTAGATTTGCCAAGCTATGGCTGATTGCAATACCAGGCACCTCCACCAAAGAGCATTGTAGCGTCATCGTCCTGTGGAAGAACTGGGAGGATGGTGTAGGCATTCAAGTGAATCGTACAGAAAGCTCACTCTCCAGCCAACATCCATGGTTCATCATCTGAGATGTCAATCCCTGCAATCTTCCATCATTGGCCTCACCATCAACATCTCCAATGTAGAAGTGAATCACTCGAATTCCATGATCTTCTACTTCATCATCCCTTTCTCGCATGCCAAAGATGATTGGCTCATTGTTCTTAATTCTTCCGACCACTGATTTTGTCTCTGCTGAGCTACTCTGCTGGCTAACATTGGCATGTTATTGACCAACTGTATGAGTAGTCACTGATTGCTCCTCCTGAAGATGAATGGGCTGGATCACTTGCAACCTGTCAAATATTGTTCCTCCAACAGTCTCGAGCAAGATGTTCTGGCATCCTGGCTTCCCACAAGTGTGACAGATTGCCGCACCTTTACCTTCCTGATCTTGTCCTTTGCCTTTACCCTCGTGGCCACCTTCTTTTCCTTAGTGATCTCCTTTTCCTTTCTTTCCTTTGCCTTTAGCATCTTTACCTTTGCCCTTTTGATGGTCATTCTGTCATTCTTGCTCTATTTTGCACTTTCCTTTGGCATCTTGGACTCGATCAATGTCCATTGGCATGGGTCCTCGGTAGTCTGTACTGCTACTTGCCACTATGGAAGTAGCCCACTTCTGCTGAGAACGGTCCCATTGCAACACTTGTTCCCTCAAAGTTGAGTGGTGAACATTGTCCCCAGTGGTCAAATTCAAGTATGATTTGAGTTGCCCCCTACACATCTCAAAAGAATAGCAGATTTCAGCTCCTCTTGAATTGTTGTTCCTGCCTTAACCGTCTCACCAAATGCTTCTTCAAGCTTCAACAGTTGAGGTTGTAGTGCGCTGTTCATAGAAAATGCTGGCCATGTAGTAGCCGCTCCAGACATCAAATCCAGTGGAGTCCTCCACAGCTTTCACCGGTGGCTTCCCCTCATCAATGAAGCTAACAATCCATAGAGCTTGATGCACCTGGTCTTCTCCTCTGTAGTTGCCAAGTCCATGTCAAGCTTCTCACTTGGCTTGTCATGAATCTCCTTCAAGTCCTTCATGTAGCCTTCATCAACTGCACTCAAATATTTATCAAATACCCATGGCCACTCTCTAAGTGCCTTGACTTAACGTCAAGGATGCTGGGCTTTGCAATCAATTTGGACCACTCTGTTGTTGATGACTTCTTGTCTTCAACGGCTTTCTTGACTGCCTCAGCTGCTGATGTTGTTGCTAGCGTGCCCTGTGCTATAGTCTGAAGGATTTCTCTGACCTCCTTCATCTCCAATCTGTACTAATGTCTTTCTGACACAAAGTGCGGGGTACAGAGTGTCGCTCACAACAATTTATCACCAGTCCAGCTGTTTGGGTTCCAAAGGCCCCAAATCTATGGCTCGAAATCGCGCCCGGGATCCCTGTGACCTGGGGCTTTTCTCTCTGGAGCTCAAAGGGGTTACCCTTATCCTTGCTCCGCTACCATGCAAACTTTCCCCTTAATCCAAAAGGGCTCCAGTAGGTCATGCTGATGCCAAATATGCTATACAAGTTACATGTGAACACTGAAAATGCTTCACAGTTGCGATACTTGCTGTCAAACATCGATGCGGATAGAGGGAGCGACTGCCTTAAGAATTGGGGGTTCCAAAAGTTGGGGACACATGGAGCAAAGCTCTCGCCGAAATCCACATGGTCTTCACCCGGTCTTGTTCATAGGCTTAATAGAAATGGAGAAAGCATAGAAATGGCGCGCAGGTCTCATGATGTGGAGGTAGTAGCGTCCTTGCTCCTAGTAGCGATGCCCTTTGCGAAACCATTTCCTCCACATTGCTACTAGTAAGGCACTTGTTACTACTAGCGTGGCACTTGTTACTAGTAGCTTCTTGTTACTACTAGTAAGGCACTTGTTACTGCTCTTGGAGGTGGAGAATCACAATGCTCTTGGGAGTGAGAAACTTCGCAGAGCGGGCTCTAAAGAGGCTGTCTTGTGTGAACCCTTTGCATGACTGCCCACGGACATGGTGTTACAAAGGAGGTGTCCCTTCAAGTGGACTTTTACATCATCGCATAAACGCATCAAATTATCTTACATCACCACTCATCATACACATATCCAATCCTCTTTCCAAAGAACTTCCTCATTGGAAAAAAGGATTGGATACAGTATATGTATGATGCTTTAACATGTGGAGATGTCAAATCCTGTATTGTTTTGTGTTGAACGCGAGTTAGCCGCGAGTTTGAAGCCACAAAAGGCAACAGTTCAAACCAACTCCCTCAAATTCTAGATATTAAGCGCTGTCAGTCCATGTCTCACCACCAACCGCTATCACCATCCGCCATCTGGACTGCCTCTTGAAGGAGCAAACAGCACATTCGCCGTCATCCTCAGAGTCGCTGAAGCTGCTGCAGGGGATGTGGATGAAGGTGTTCTTCCTGCGGCAAAGGAGGTGAGATGAGTCGGAGTCAGGTTGATTAGACATGTCTTTTGCGCTCTTAGAGTGGAGGCCCGCGCTATTAGATTAGACATGCCCTTTCTTTAAACAACGACGGCGAGCATGTTGGCCAATGATTGCATGACCATGATGGAGCAAATGAGTTGGATGTGGATGAAATGTGGCTGAAGGCGGGAACCCAAACAAAGCAAAAGCAAATTGAAAAACGGTATAGAACATAGCATTTCTCAATGTGCTTAAGAAACAGTATATGTGTAACAAGTAAACACACATATTTATATGTTTGACATGAGCCATCATGGAGCGGGCTACAGCCTTGGGGATCGCCTGTGCTTCTGGACAAACCATGCAACTACAATAGTACGTATAGTACACAAGGCTGGCTTGCTACCAAAGCCCCCACCCACTTCAGCTTTACAGCAACACACTCTAGTAGCTGCCAGCGTCGAAAGAACATTTTGCCAGTGGGGCAATTGCTTACGTCCAGAAAGGACCCTTGGGCCCTTGGGTCTTGAAGAAACAAATGAAGAATCAATACACGATCGTAGTTTTAAACAATATGGGAATACTTCTGAAGTCGTTTTTCTTCTCATTTCCAAGGCAACTAGTAGTAACAAGAAGCTACTAGAAACAGGTGCCACGCTACTAGAAACAAGTGCCTTACTAGTAGTAACAAGAAGCTAGTAG